GCCCTGTCTCGCCATCGTACCACATCCGACCTTATTGAAGGTTAAGGCCTTAATTTCAGCGTTCCCAAAGATTTCTCTTGCTTTCCTTTCCACTTTCAGGTCGTTCCGCAGCTAAGCTATCACTACGAAGCGCTCATAGCACCACGGGTTTGCCTTTAGACTCCACTCATTTGCCAGAAGCAAGCCTAAGACTAAGCTAGGCCCAATCATAGGCCTAAGCACAAGCCAATGTGTTGGCATAATTCTGAGCCTGAGCCTAAACCCAAGCACAACCTAGGTTTCAACTCTGGTGACCTGACCTACGAGGAGGACCTGACCCCATCTTCCGGCTTGAAGAACCTGAAGTTCGATGTGGATGTTGCAGACCTGCATGTTGCTAATGCATGGAACCTGGACCCGTAAAGTCTTCGTGGGCAAATCTTACCCAAAGAAACCAGGGTAAGAAAGAAGAGGAGCGCCAAAGAGAAGAAGACTGTGTCTTGCTTTCTCAAGAACATTTGTTCAATGTTGTTTGAACAATCAGCTATGGCGCCATCCCGACACCCATCTCTATTGAGTCATATCGTGTTGATCAAAGCCGTACGGTATTCACAAAACACGAAGTTTATGCGTCATACGAGCACAGCTCGACCAACGTAGGCGATAAATGTTTGTGGGGAGCTGGTGAGCGGTTTGAGCTTCGATGACACGGGGGGGGGGGAATGACGCGATATGAGCAACACAGCATCGTCACGACGCATATGAATTATGACACGAAACCACTTGGAAACGAACACAAAAGAGATGAAATTGGCGAGACGTATCGAAACGAAACGCCTATCGATTTCCACTGAACGATCGTCCTCGAAAAAGAAGAGAATGACAGAAAAAAGGTGAGAGAAACGATAGAATTATTAATGAACAGCCTTACGCCAACGCTTATAATTCCAAATGGGGAAATCGAAAGACAATTTGAGAATGAACGATTGTCTTATAAAGGCGTTCCATACGTTTTATTGCGATGCTGCGTCTATGTGGAAGCTTTTCTCATATCGTCATCAGAACACGACCAATCAGCTCTGATGACCCGGTAGTACCGCTAGGGTCACTTTTGCGACTTAAAGCAACAAGCCCAGATCAAATAGGTGGGGTAACGGGGTCGAAATGGAGTTCTGGACACCGAGTGCGTTGCAGTTCTTCTCCTCCGGTCAGATCACCTAAAATCGAGACGCCAATTGCTCGAAGCAAGCTTAATAAGCCGGGCCCAATCATAGGTTCAAGCATAAGACAATATGTATAAACCTGAGCCTAAGCCTAAACCCACGCATAACCTCAGACTTCAATGATCGTGCAGCTCTGGTGACCTACCTCAGGAGGAGAACTGAACGTCTCCCCTGGACGCCTAGTTGACTAAAAATGAGGAAAAGAAGCAAAGCAAACCACTCCCTCTCTTCCTCCTTGAAATAAGGAAGGGGCGGAGCCAGACGAGTTTTTTGAACTCGATAGCTCCATGGCTCCGGTAGCCCGCGCTTATTTGAATTAGCCGCCTTAGGTTAGCTGCCATGTTGTAATCCACACTGCGTGTCTGGGATGTGCGCGAGGTATCTCGTACTTTGGCTCATATTAGCCGTCATTAGCACTCTTTGTAAGGCTCTTACGCCAATGTCACACGGTCGAGCCTTCTTCGTAATTTTTTTACATTTTCATCTCCGCTGAATCCAAGTACGCCCTTTCTTCCCGCTCCTCATTGAGAACGGCGCAGCGCAGATGGCGCTTGAGCTCACAAACACGAACTCACAAACACCGTTTGACCCCATTCGTGAGTTTGAGAGGGGGAGGGATATTTGGGTTCTTTAAAAAGGAAAATGAAAAAAGTCTGCAAAAAAGTACCATGCGCGATCGAGTGAGCCACCTTCGTGTGAGGCGAGACCGAACGTTCACGCTGCGGTCCTCCCCTTAGTATTGCTTCGCCACCCCCCTCCCCCCATGTTGTTAGTGACGCTCCAATTTGCATAACCCTTCACTTATCGAACTTGAAAACGCTAAGGAAATGGCGCCTCCATGATGGAAATCGCGCATAGCCCCCAGAGAACACAGACTTTGACTTCTTTGCTCTATTCACCTTTCTCGCACCACCATATTGAAGATGTGAAAATCCAATAGGAGGAGTGCCGGAAGAACGGAGAGATCAACGTGAAAGGGGTGCACAACCCACTTTGGGCAGGCCGGCCCAGCATAGCGGATTAACTGAGGCGTGACGTTCTCATTCTTTGCCTGGCAAACACTAAGCGAATCCAATAAAGCTAATAAACACACAACGGAGAATATAAGACGGCTCAGATGGGTCTACGAGGGTGAGGAACCAAAAATCAGCAGGATTCAATTCAAGGAAGCCAAGATGCGCGGAGCGCAATCCACACCGGTAAATATCAAAATGACGATGGAGAGGGTTTTGGCGTTCTCTGGAACGCCCAAAACAAACGACGATTCAGGCTCTGAGCAATCGCCAACGCAGACGAATTCCCATATTGAAACTATACCGTAACCCGGCGCTACAGTGCAAAAATGGACGTCGAGCCGAAATCGATTGCTGTGTATGGGGGTGGGAATATTTGATGATGGCAAAACACTTTATGGGTTTTTCCAAACCGCTTCTCGTCTATGCGTTTTTACATGGATGCCGGTTTCAGAGCCCCGAAACCGGAAATTGGCTCCAGGCGCTGAATTCTGAGAATAAATGCCCTCCACATAGAACCACTCGCGCTATACTAAAGGTGTCATGGGGATTGCTACCTTGAAGCTCCTCCTAAAAAATTAAGATTGATTATCTTGTTGCCTGCTAAAGTAAGCACCCAAACCGTAAATGGATGATGGATAAAGGATAAACATCAACCACTGATCAACCCTGTTCTGGGATGCGCCACGCATTCCACTCCCGTTCAAAAATCGTGGTGGCAAATTGATTGCAATTTGGCCTTAAATGAAATGCGTGGGTTAGCCGATGTACGAATTAAGGTTTTTTATCCTTCCTGACAAGTATGTTACGAAAATAATCGACCCAACAAGGATGCAAGGCTCGGTTGGCGCTGACGACGCAAGACCGAGGACATGATCCCCCACCCGCGCGCGTGAGTAAGCGGCACCACCTGCCACGATCCCACTTCCGCCCCCGCACAAATGGATAGCCTGGGGAGCAGCAAGCCCTAACTCGGGGATGGATCCCCAAAACTCGGCATTTCCGGACGCTTCCCCGATTCTTGACCATGGGAGTTGCATCATCGACCAGAGTGGTGACGCAGAGTTTTAGGGACCCATCTCCGAGTTGGGGCTTGCTGCACCCAGCGTCAAGTTCAGGGAAATCACTCATACAGGCAGATGCCCAGGCACAAGAATGCCTCTCGAGACGTGCTTTATACGACCCAATCAGCTTCCGTGGGGGAAACTACTATATGCATTAACAAACAACCGTCCGGAAGTCCTTGCGGCTGAAGTCAAACAACGGCTCGAAGATCGGAACGCGTTCTAATAGCTGGGGATTTCTGATCGCCTGAAGAACCGCGTGAGAAATCCTTTGAATTATGACGAAATGCGCTTCATAATGGCGGAATAAATTGCATGACGCTTGCACTCAATTGACACAAACGTTCAATGACCACTGTCACATCAGGTGACCACTAGAGGAACAATCTAATCGCAGAACGGTAAAAATGAGGATGGAGGGCACCTCTCTATTCAGCTCAGTGGCTCCAATGATAAGGACAAAGTTAAGAGCCTAACGAAAAGTGCTTCAGGAGCTCATGTCGTTTGGGGGATCGATATTAGTTTTATTCTTGTACTTATATAACTTCGTATAATGTATGCTATACGAAGTTATTACGTGTTCCTACCTGACGCTTACGATTCATAAAAGACTCTCCAACTTCTTATAACCAAGACGGAGAGCAATCTCAGCAATTTTAGTTCCCCTGGCATTCCTCCCCTCCTTGGACTCCTTGGGCTTAGTCCTGGTGTCACCTACCAGCGGTTTGAACGCCCTGCTTTAAATGTCGCCCTCCCCTACCCCACGATGACATAACCGCCGACGTCGCCGCCATAACGAGCTTTGATAAAACTTCATCCAAGTAAGCTTTTTGATAAGAACTGGCTGAATGAGCCTGATTGACGAGTCTGATCTAAGACCAGGATATTTTTGCTTAGGCACAGGGGAGAGAGGGTAGGAGGAACTTCGCACGTGGCTAACCACTGCAAACGTGCAAGAAAAATTATTGAGCGCCAATAATGCAGGGCATTTGAGCAATTGAATGAGCAAGCTATCAAAGTTCCTGCTCTCACCGCCAGAATATCCCTAGCCTTATCTTGAACCTTATAGTTAGAGCCACATAGTAGCATGGAATGCCCTCCTCCAACCCAATTTCACCTCGCAAAGTATTACTCACTAAAAAGAAAAAGGGCGCTAACGCAAGATACGGGGGCATTGGTGGCAATGCATTTAAAATCGCATTAAGGATCTCCTTTTTCTGAAAACGGGCTAAACGCTGGGAGGAAAAAAGAGAGCTCAGGATACGTGAACCATTACCACTTTCACGGAGCTGCTGACCCCTCCTAGGCTTAGGTCTTACAAATTAGAGGATGCCCCATCCACTACGAAAGCGTCGAAAAAAGCCACGGGTGACTGTCTTCCCAAGACACCAAACTCTCCCACATGAACGAAGTGAGTAGGAACGAAAATAGATTTGAATGCGGTTGGCATCAAAAATGGTTCATATTAGTACTTTCAGCTTCACTGAATTCATAGCGCTGAAGGGAAAAAGGGCAGTGGGCCGGCCGTGCCTGCTCGTGCAAATCAGTTGAGACTGCCAAATCCGGAAGCGGGCCCAAGCCTGAAAAGTTCTTAAATGTCTCTGGCATTATTGTCTAAGACAGCTTATTTCAACCCCCCCCTCCCTTCTGAGAATTCTGGTGGAAGGGAGGTGAGAGATAAGGAAGGTGAGGGCATGAAAGTATATCATAAATAAGTGATGTTAAAGAAGGAGCCGTATTCAGCTATTTCCCCCACATTACTTCTGAATACTGCTGGGCATTATTTATGAGAGAAAGGGACAGAGCTCGTGACAGGGAAAGGTTGTAAAATTTGGATAGCAATGGAACAAATGGCACCTCCAATCACTTTTTCAAGGGCTAATCCATGTGATTTTCACCCGTTGCAGATGTATACCAGGTGCAGAACGGTTTCTAAATAATGAAACTAGAAAATTAAAAAACCTTCGAAGAATTGGCCAAGAGCCAGAGCTAGTTGGTTAGGGTGCCCATGAAGAACGGCGTCGCTTATAAATGGATTTTTATAATTGGGTTGTTCAAACCATATTTTCAAAGTACAATGAAAACGGCGGCAATCCCGGTCGTTGCTGGAGAGAATAAAAAAAGAACAAAGGCATGGCTGGTGATGCAATTTCATCTCTCTGGACGCGCTACGTCCATTTCAGGTGGGATCGGGATGCCTTGCGATATGAACTTCTTTTCGTCCACGAATGGCTTCTTCCGGGGTGCCACACCTCTTCATCCAAGTTCGACTTCAGTCACATGAAACCTCAGTTAGCGTGATGCTAGAAGTAAAGAAACGTTTGGACGGATCTGTAAGATGCGTTGATCTACAAGCGCTCAACAACCCTGCTTCCTAGCCAATCCTCCTTCTTTATTTGTTTTTTTTTTATAGTCAAGGAAGATTAACCTGGCAAACAGATATTTGATTGTGACCTAGATCCAGTCTATCCATGTATTTGAAAACAGATCTTGAGCTCACACAGAGGATTCCACGCTGAATCGAGGACCAAGGAACGAAATATACCTCCTAGAAAGAGAAGTGCACCTCTACGCCGGGCGATGCGTAATTTGCTGCAAGGAGTGGGCCCGTAGCGCTCTAACAGGACCTCACCAGCGGCGCCGTGGTTCTACACACTCACTGGATAGCTGACTCCTCACCGTCGGACTCTAGCGCGGCCTCCGTAATTTTTTCAGGCAGAGAGTAGGCAGAGCGTAAGCAGTGGGTTTAGACGTTCTGGTTTTCCCATCCAGCTCTACATCTTTCACCACCTTTACCCACCGCGGATAATCAATTCATCGCGAAACCCGTCTTCGAGGGCATTCCACGAGAACAGAATTTTGCTAGTGGGCTTAAATGAGGTTGTAGACACAATTGGCCCGTAAGTGAAGGAAATATGAAAGGAACTGCCTTAAGTATTTAAAAAAATCCTTTTCTTCAGCTGATCCGGGGTACTGGCGGCATCTGACGTCGAAAGAAGTGTGCTCGAATGAAATGTCCCGATGGTGAGAAGGGAGGTGGGAAAACGGAGGCGCATACAAAAGCGTGCCATCAATTTATAGATATAGATTGCCATTTCGACGTTGATTGCGAACGAAATACGTACATATACGTCCTTAGCGCCACCTCGGAGCCTTGGGTGTGGAACAACCCGAATGTTTCCGGACCCACCTGCCTCTTTAAAAACAGGATTTCACCACGAGATAAGCGTGGAATGTGCCTTCAAAAACCACTGTCACTACATGAAGAGATAATTATTCATTTCGGTACACTCGAGTCTCCAGGTTTAATCATTTGAAAGCCTTTGTGACACGTATAGAAGTGCTATCAAAGAATCTCCCCGACTGTGAGAAACCACCAGGCGTCATCGCGACAGCGCCAACCGACAAATCTTCCAGGCTAGATAGAGAAAGGGCAAATTTTTTTCTGGGGCAGAGTTTCCCTTATCGGCTCGATCGCGGCTTCCCATCAAACACTCTTTCGGACTTGCACTTCAGACATCCGTTCCCGTATGCGATGTTCTTCGGACGGCAAAAGCAAACAGCGCGTTCCACCTCTAACGAGCCCATATCGGGCTTAATTATGTCATTTTGCCGCCACAGTTACGAGCCCTTGATCGTTTATCTCAAGGTTATATGTTCTCCAAAAAAAGAGTACTCGTCTCGATTCTCTGATATGAAGCTGCTACACTTCGGTTCGTTATCACAGGAATACGAATACAACGAGTTCGTATAACTTCGTATAACTCTTATGGTCCATTTTATAGGTGCCCATATCCTAGGGGCAGGTTGTAAGCATGAAAACAGCTCAAACTCCAATACAAATATACGTGCTATCGTCAGGGGGACACTCAATGAATTAAACTATCGCAAGTACTGCGGACGGGAAGGAGACGAAGGCCTTCGGGACATGACATTTTTTTGTTCTTACTCGCGCCTTCCCGCCCCTTTATACGTACGTCCTGAGTGTTCACTTCGTCGCGGTTTCCAAGCCTCTGTTGAATGCGCCCACTACCCCCCCCCCGGGCGTGAGCGCACAATTACATGCACTTACTTGAGCAATCAGTTCAAACGATAGTTGACGGTATTGCTGAAGACGCTTTAGTAGGGGATCCAATCCATAGTAATTAGGGATTCCACCACCACAAATAGCTGTTCGGGCGCTCATGTCCTTGCGGGGGGGGGGGGACATTCCAAGTGAGTGAGCCAATTACTGTGCTTGGGACTAAGCCTCAGGCAGGGAAGGGATTCTGTGGGAGTATGCAAGCAATATGTGTGCTCCATGCCGTTTCTCCCCCTCTTGGGCTTAGTCCTAGTGCCACCTTCAATCGGCCCTGTTGTAGATGTCCCCCTCCCCCCAGGACATGAGCGCCAGATATCAACAGGCCGGAGCAATGTCAGGGGAACGTATTGTCAGAACTCATTCTATGCATCTACGACCATCTATTCATTCGGCCCCTATTGCAGAAACGGGGACTCTCTTGAACTTCTCCTGGAGGGGGCAGGAACTCCGAAGAAAATAAAAGTGGCACACATACCCTGGAGTCTTTTCCTCCCCTGTCCAAGGCTTAGTTCCGTTTTCAATGAAAAGGCATGTTTTGCGCAATTTAGAATGCATTGCTACCACAGTGCCTCACCCCTATACTGAGATAGCGCTTTCCTTCAATTACTTGTACCACTAGCAGTGTCCCCTGTTACTCATAGGCATAAGGCAGCATCAGACAGCAACAGACAGCATCAAGAGCTCTAAAACGCACATTTTATAGCGCTTCCTGGACAAGTACGCTAATGAGTCTGCAATTACGACACGTCCCATTGCAGCTGCGCCCTCTGGGAAGTGAAGTGTTGAAATGAGGAATTATGAATTGATAAAAACATACGACTGGGATTATTCTAGCCGTAGGACACAGTGCCGTTAGCTCTTCAGCTTGTTGAACCACAATCTATCTTGTCCGGACATACCGTACTGCTTCCCAAACCCGCAGCCGAAAACCTCCATCGAAACTTGTCCTTCGTATGCTTTGAGCAGCTACTACGGTATAATTGTATCGGTATTGAAGTACATTTCCGTCGAACGCCTGAATTCGAGTTCCAGAAGCAAAAGTTTCTGCTTAAAGTGAGTCACAAGCAACAACGGCAGAGCCGCCTCTAAGGCTGGTGTTCCGAAAATCGAGCTTCGGAACCTCTCTTACAGACTAGGAGGGTTGGGTAGACTTACCAGACCTTGTAGCATGCCGCCTCATAAAGTCGTCAAAAGGGATGAACCCTCAGAAGAAAGGACGTTGAAGTGGAAACCCCCACTCGCGAACTCGGTATTTATAAGCGGTATCATACAACAGTACTGATTATACTGCAATAATAAACTGATTCTAAGGGGGGTTCGGACAAGATACGCCTATTGGTGGAGCTGGGTGTATCACCGGCAGACGATTGCTGAGGTAATGTGACCACTGTAGCCTTCCTGAAGTACCGACGAGAGAGACTGGGGCAGGGTCGGTCCTATCGTTGCTACTTTTCGAAAAATTTTTACGACCCCCTCCCCAAAGGTGGATTTGGTACGACCCCCTTCTCGACCCTCGACCACCATATTCCTCGCTATAGTATTTAATTCTGGTATCACTCAACCCGAAAACTCCGCCCACTTTTTCCTCCAAAAATGCCGTCGAGCGGGGGGGTATATAGTCACTCTGAAACCGTAAAAATTACCTAAATTCCCTAAATTTCCACCAATTTACCCCCTCCTACCTTTAATCCCACGCTTCATTTTCTAGGGGGATATATACGCGCGCTGAAACGGCAAATTTTCTCCCGCGCCACTCCTCCCTCACCTCATGCAACTTCTCACAATCGAAGCAAGTACGACCCCCCCCTCTACAACCTCATCAAAATATACGACCCCCCTCTACAAACTCATCAAAATGTACGACCCCCCTCTAAAAACTCATCAAAGTACGACCCCCCGTTGCTACTTGTAGCAACGTAGGACCGACCCTGGTCAGGGGCCGCACTCTAGCATGAAGGAATACTCATATTGAACGTTAAAGCGAAAACGGGCGGCGTTCAGACTTAAAGCATTAGGGTGGGAGGCAGTGGAGAGCCACCGTACGAGTGAGAAATCCGAGTTAGGCAAACCACAGCGGCGCGTCGCGTGTCTGACTCGAAGGCGCGCAGCAAGAGTGCTAAAGTTGCCTGTACTTTGAAACAAAGAAAAAAAAAGGAAAGGACAGCTACTGAAGCTCGCTATGGAAATCATTCAAGCCTAGTTCTGGTTTGATAAAATCACCGAATTTTTTTACCGAAGAAGGTTCTAAGTTTGAAAAGGTGCTGCAATACTTTGTAAACATTTTTCTTATAAAAGTTCTGGGTCTTTCGCTATAAGTGTTTAGAACTTCAGACCGCTTCCTGATTATCGAAAGCGGAGGAGTTGAAGAAGTTTGGTTAGCCTCCCATAATTGAAAAAAGTCAGGCTACAAACGAAAGGAGCAGCTACAGCAAGTCAACATCCATGGCTTACTCTAGATGGCTACCATGGATGACTCTAACAAAGAAATGCAACGACCAACGATGGTCCAATGGCTAATGGCGTCGAAAGCAGATGATTGAATGGCTTCAGGAACAATCGTTGATAACTGGTAACGCACAGCTGCAGGTGTTGATCATATAGCTATAACCAGATCAAAGCCCATTAGCCCACCGGTGCGGATTCCTTTCATTGTAGCGGCCGTGCACTACATGACTCTACATCTTACAGTGTGAGGCGCTTGTATCCATGGGAGCGAGCGAGGGACATTCGAACCAGGTAGTTGGAGAATTGCTGTTAGGTGGCTACGACAAGCCCGGGTGCGGGAGCAATGCAAGAAGAGCAAAGTTGTCCACCTCCTTTCACGGAATCTCATCCCCTCTCTCAAGGTCGATCTCAAGCAGTGAGGGTGGCTCACCCACTTGAATGCTCCCCCTCCCCCCAAACGACATGAGCGCTCATGACTTGGATGGCAAGACTTCACCGTTTTACCGTAATCTACCCTTTATCGCTTGCCATCACAATTTCTGTCACTTTCTTAGAACTATAACGCCAATGGGACTACTACGTTTGTCATAGGGCTATAATCAAATCCCATAATTGAAGATGGATTGAGAAGTCAATGAAATTGAAGTGAGCATAAATCACCTACAATTGTGGTTTCTGTGGTTACCCGCCCAATGCTATTTATGGAAAATTGGCTTTTCCACCGCAAATTTCCTCCTTAAATAATTTTCAATCACCTGGTACGAAAATAGAAATGAAAATACTACTCTGCCATACTCCCATACTTAAGCATGAATCACTTGAGTGAAAAGTGAAATTGGAAATCTTTCTAGCAAAATTGGCAGAATGCTCCAAAAGCGGGGAAATATTCCTGAATCTTCAACAGGTCAGTTTTGCCCGCAATCCTCCTAGAACAGTGCTCATAGCATTGGAGGGGGGGAGGGCAGAAAGTTCTTCGGAGCAGGGCAAAACCGCTGGTAGCGACTAAGGCCAGCGGAACGCCGAGGAGAAAAGGATTGCTCACAACCTTTTCCTGCATCTCTACCTATTCCTGAAACTCGGTCCCAAGTACTGTAAATGTTCACTCAGTTGTTTCTCCCCTCCCCCCCCCCTTAACGACATGAGCGCCATGAAAACGAGTGTGTTAGTGTGCAAACTTAGTATGGTAAATGGAGAAGAAATTTTCGGTTTCAAGGAGTGGTTTTAAGAAGTTTAGGAGGTTTCCTTATGGTAACGACAACGTTCATTTTACAGGAACAAGTGATAAAGCCAAAACTAGAAACGTGAATAGAAGGATAAATAAAAATAAAATAAAAATAAAAATAATGGTAATGATAATATAATGATAATATTAACAGCAATCAGAAAAGCAGAAGGTTAAGTTCTGCGCAACAGTTTTAACAGTGCAGCCCGCTCTCAGACCGGACAAGCACTGATACCAGCTTATAACCGACAAAATACGACCAGTTCCCATCAAAGCTGAATCTTAGCTCCAGCAGGACTCACCGCATTTCCGCCAAGTGCCGTGTAGGTGTCTGCGGTACTGCTCCCGGTGCCATTCAAATAACCTGAAATTAACAGTATCTCAATTTTTCGGTATGCTCCAATTTCAAGAAACAAATACTGAACTTCCGATGGAATATTCATTATTTGTTGACAGCACTTATTGACATGAAAATTAGTTATAAAGTATTTGACGTCAAACAAGCCCTGTTTGGGAACCGCCACGTATCCGAGTTCTATCCAGAATTGTAGCAGCATTTGAATGCAATTTGGACTTTACATACAATAACTTACGGTGTTAACGGATGCACAAGTCAGCATTTTTATTCTCCCTGACCAGTCTTCTCTACACATTACCCGAACTTAAAGGCACAAGTCGGATTGAATCGGTGTGTTATTCTTGTTCAAAAATTAGGCAAGGAGGTGCAATGAGGAACATTAGTGAGGAGAAAAAGCAAAAAGCACCATAAACAATAAATTTCCCTTGTGAGGCCGGCCGTGGTATGACAGATAGACACAGCTGTGGAAAACGCGAGAGAGCAAGCCGTACGAAGAGGGCGCAGACACCACGTATGCCGCGATGATAAGGATGGTAGCATAGCGGCGCGCAGGACAGGGCCTTAGCGTCTCGCACTTTTGAGTCGCAACAGTTTCCCACCTCCTCCACTTGGGGATCCCTCCTTCTCACTCAGGCTCTTGAGACCAAGTCCCGACTGGTGGCTTCAAGACGATTGAACGATCG